GTCCAGGAAAACACAAAATGAACATGAGGACAGGAGGGACGTGCGAGATGAGAGATGGCGGGATCAAGAGGCGAGGCGGTGGGAGCAAGAGGAGCGGTGGTGGGAGCGTGATGAGAGGATGCAGGAGGCAATGCTGAGTCTACTGGAGGATCAAACTGATATGCTCTGGCGTATGGTTGAGGTGCAGGAAAGGCAGCAGGAGCACAGACTGCCGCTGCAGCCCCTGTGTAACCAACCGCCCTCCTCCCCAAGTTCCATAGCTTCCTCACCCAGACGCCCAAGGACAAGGAGTTTGGGGGGGGGGGCGGCTCCGGGCACCCAACCACTCCACCCCAGAGGACTGCCCAAGCAACAGGAGGCTGGCATTCAATAAGTTTTGAAGTGCAGTGTGGCCTTATCCTTCCCTCCTTCCCTACCCCACCCGCTGCTTCCCTCCTCCACCACCCCTCCCGTGCTACCCTGGCAGTTATCCCCCTATTTCTGTGACTAATTAATAAAGAATGCATGAATTTGAAACAACAATGACTTTATTACCTCTGCAAGCGATGATCGAAGGGGGGAGGGGAGGGCGGTTGGCTTACAGGGAAGTAGACTGAACCAAGGGGGCGGGTTTTCATCAAGGAGAAACAAACATAACTCTCACACTGTAGCTTGGCCAGTCATGAAACTGGTTTTCAAAGCTTCTCTGATGCGCAGCGCACCCTGCTGTGCTCTTCTAACTGCCCTGGTGTCGGGCTGCACGTAATCAGTGGCCAGGCGATTTGCCTCAACCTCCCACCCCACTATAAACGTCTCCCCCTTACTCTCACAGATATTGTGGAGCACACAGCAAGCAGTAATAATGATGGGAATATTGGTTTCACTGAGGTCTAACCGAGTCAGTAAACTGCGCCAGCGCGCTTTTAAACGCCCAAATGCACATTCTACCACCATTCTGCTCTTGCTCAGCCTATAGTTGAACAGCTCCTGACTACTGTCCAGGGTGCCTGTGTATGGGTTCATGAGCCATGGCATTAAGGAGTAGGCTGGGTCCCCAAAGGATAACTATAGGCATTTCAACATCCACAACGGTTATTTTCTGGTCTGGAAAGTAAGTCCCTTGCTGCAGCCATTCAGACAAACCAGAGTTTTGGAAGATGTGAGCGTCATGTACCTTTCCCGGCCATCCCATGTTGATGTTGATGAAACGTCCCTTGTGATCCACCAGTGCTTGCAGCACCATTGAAAAGTAACCCTTTCGGTTTATGTACTGGCTGCCTTGGTGCTCCGGTCCCAAGATAGGGATATGCGTTCCGTCTATCGCCCCACCACAGTTAGGGAATCCCACTGCAGCAAAGCCATCCACTATGACCAGCACATTTCCCAGAGTCACTACCCTTGATAGCAACAGCTCAGTGATTGCACTGGCTACTTGGATCACAGCAGCCCCCACAGTAGATTTGTCCACTCCAAATTGATTCCCGACTGACCGGTAGCTGTCTGGCGTTGCAAGCTTCCACAGGGCTATCACCACTCGCTTGTGAACTGTGAGGGCTGCTCTCATCTTGGTATTTTTGCGCTTCAGGGCAGGGGAAAGCAAGTCACAAAGTTCCATGAAAGTGCCCTTACGCATGCGAAAGTTTCGCAGCCACTGGGAATCATCCCAGACCTGCAACACTATGCGGTCCCACCAGTCTGTGCTTGTTTCCCGGGCCCAGAATCGGCGTTCCACGGCATGAACCTACCCCATTACCACCATGATGTTCAAATTGCCAGGTCCCGTGCTTTGAAAGAAGTCTGTGTCCATGTCCTCATCACTCTCATCACCGAGCTGCCATCGCCTCCTCGCCTGCTTTTGCAGGTTCTGGTGCTGCATATACTGCAGGACAATGCATGAGGTGATTACAGTGCGCATAACTGCCGTGGTGATCTGAGTGGGCTCCATGCTTGCCGTGGTATGGCGTCTGCAGGAGAGCAGAGTGGCAGCGGAAGCGTGACGATGGTTTGAAGCCCTACTGCACCGTCTGCTGCCAGAGCAGGAGAGCAGAGTGGCAGTGGAAGCAGTCGTTCAGGGACGATGGTTTGCAGCCCTCTTGTACCGTCTGCTGCCAGCAGCACCCAGGTCACAACAGCGGCGGCTGAGCTGAGCGGGCTGCATGCTTGCCGTGGTATGGCGTCTGCGTGGAAAAAAGGCGCAAAACGATTGTCTGCCGTTGCTCTCAGGGAGGGAGGGGCGACTGACGACATGTACCCCAAACCACCTGCAACAATGTTTTTGCCCCATCAGGCAGTGGGAGCTCAACCCAGAATTCCAATGGGTGGCGGAGACAGCGGGACCTGTGGGATAGCTACCCACAGTTCAACGCTCCGAAAGTCGATGCTAGCCTCGGTACCGTGAACACACTCCACCGACTTAATGTGACTTAATGCGCTTAGTGGAGACACACAATTGACTGTATAAAATTGCTTCCTAAAAAATCGACTTCTATAAATTCGACCTAATTTCGTAGTGTGGACATACCCTTAAAGAGTTGGGTTTTTCTCTGTTTCTTTTAAATACTTCAAATCCACTGAAAAATCTAAAAAAAAAGTGTGTGTGTGTGTAATATATCTATCTATCTATCTATCTATATATAAAAATTTCCACCAAATTACTCTATATAGGAACTGGAAAAAAATAAACTAAAAGAGACGGGAGGGGAAAAAAATCAATGTACAGTGTAACAGAAGAATTGCAGAAAACAGGTTACTGGGGGTGGGGGGCTCGAGCCAGTTGTGTGTTGTTTTGTTGAAGAAAACCCTAAATATTGAACCTGGCCCTTTTTGCTGCAGACCTTATCTGGCAAAATGATCACAACATACCTGTTTGTGTGTACTTACATTATTACTAAAAATAAATTATGGAATTTTTATAAAAACACCCCCTCAGAATGGGATTGGCTTGTTCTGGGCTTGCTGTGAAAGGCAGAGCAGCTTTGTTACGTTTTGAGACTTGGCAACACCAGGGAACCAGGCCTGGGACTCCCCGGAGATGGACTTGGCTGAAAGTCACCGATTTCCATGTTAACAAGTTCTGTTCTATGCTGTGTTCCTGTCAACTAATAAACCTTCAGTTTTACACGCTGGCTGAGAGTCACTGCTGAGTGCAAAGTGGGGTGCAGGGCCCTCTGGCTTCCTCAGGGGTGGACCCCTGCAGGAAGTGCATGGACAGGGATTCTGAAGGCTCCCAGGTCAGACCCAGGAAGGCCATAGCCGAGGAGGTTTCTTGCCCTGGACAGAGTGCCCTAAGGGGAGTCACGCTAGTCCTGGCTGGCTTCATACGGAGCAGTTCCAGAGCATTGGGGTTGTGACTCCGTGACAACTGATTGGTTCTCCCTCCTGGATCTCAAGTTAGGAAGGGCATCGGCCATGGCTTTCCTGCAGGCACCTGCCCCAAGGGTCTCAGCAAAAGTCTCACATCCTTATTCCTACCACCTAGGCATTGGTGACTCATATAGGCTCACGTACAACGTAACAAGAGGAAAAACCCACCTCATCACATATGCAGCTCACAACTTGTCCATGTCTCTGTGGGGAGGGGACAGGTCACTGTCAATGTACCCTGCAGCATTGGGGAAGGTGGACCGGGGTGGGAGCCAGGAGACCACCAGGTCTGGTCTTCAATCTTCAACTGACCGCAGTTTCCATGCAGATTCCCTCTCCCCTTACATTCTGAATTCAAACCCGGCTGGTGACTCATGGAGGTAAAATTAGTATGTGATCATGCAATTAAAGGATGGTGTCATAATGCACATGGCCAAGTGCGCAGAGTTAAGGTTGTTCAGGAAATCTTAAATGTGGCAATTGCTGATTCCAGAGGGTTTGACTCTGCAGCCTTCCCGCTCAGCCTGCAAACCTGCCCATGTGTTACACAAGCCATGGCACCGTGGGAGGAGCGGGCATGATGGGGAACGCCTGCATTTACTGCCCCTTGCGCCATAGCTGAATGGCGAGGACAGCTTTGCACTAAAATTCCTGATTACAAGGATCTTTTCTCAGTGTGTGAATTAAATAAGCTAGATTCAAAAGAAGACTGGAGAAAGAGAAATTCCATCCCGTGCCCCCCAGTGGGTCACCAGTCAGGATGGAACCAGGGACCTTCTAATGCCCCTGCAAGGACCCTGCCCCCCCAGCTGAAGGAGACACTGTTAGTGGTTGTATATGTGGCCTGGACACTAGAGAGGGACGTGACACAGGTTTTGTTTATATAGCCGTTGGCTAGAGGACAGTAGAAAGTTGGGGATCAGGAAGTTTTGGCTCTATCCCTAGCTCTGGCAGGGGAGTGGGGGGCTAGTGGTTAGATCAGGGGGCTGGGAGCCAGGACTCCTGGTGTCATTGGGTGGCGCCCATCCGTTGCTCTGACACTGTGAGTAGGATTGCCAGCTTTCTACCTGCACAAAACTGAACACCCTTGCCCTGCCCCACCCCTTCTCTGAGGGGGTGAGGGCTCTAACTAGGGGGTGCTGGCTCTGGGGTGGGGCTGAGGGGTTTGGGGTGCAGGAGGGGGATCAGGGCTGGGGCAGGGGTTTGGGGAGCAGGAGAGGGTCGGGGTGCAGGCTCCGGGCAGCATTTACCTCAAGCAGCTCCCGGGAGCAGCGGCACGTCCCCCCTCCGGCTCTATAACGTGGAGGTGCGGCCAGGGGGCTTTGCACGCTGCCCCGTCCGCAGGTGCCGCCCCTGCCGCTCCCATTGGCCGCGGCTCCTGACCAATGGGAGCGGCAGAGCCGGCGCTTGGGCGGGGGCAGCGTGTGGCGCGGAGCCCCCTGGCTGCGCCTATGCCTAGGAGCCGGACGGGGGACACGTCACTGCCTCCTGGAGCCGCGCAGCGCCTGCAGCGCCACTGACCAGCCGCCCCGCCCGGGCTACAGGGGAGCCACCCCCCTGTCAATCCGAGGGGCCCGCCCCGCCTCCGAAAGCCCCAATTGGACCATTTAAGGAAGCAGGAAATGACGATTGCTGATGGGGTGGGGGGACCGGAAGTGGCAGGAAAGGTACCCGGAAGTCCCCGGGGGTGGCAGTCCCGCCTTGTGCGCGTTTCGGTGCCGGTCACGTGGGGACGGCGCGGTGACGTACCCGGCCCGGCTCGGCTCGGCTCAGCTCAGCTCAGCTCAGCATGGCGGACGCGGCCTCGCAGGTGCTGCTGGGCTCCGGCCTCACCGCGCTCTCGCAGCCGCTCATGTACGTCAAGGTGCTGGTGCAGGTGAGAGCGGGCCGGGACCCCGCGTGACCCCGCCCCCGGACTGACCCCGTGACCCTGCCCCCCCCCGCGCGCGCAGCCCCCCCCGGACTGACCCCGTGACCCTGCCCCCCCGCGCGCGCAGCCCCCCCCGGACTGACCCCGTGACCCTGCCCCCCCCGGAGCGGCCCCGTGTCGGGCCCCTCCCTCGCGCTCCGAGCTGCCCGGGGCCGGTCCCCGCCGGTCTCTGCTCTGCTGCTCCCCCGGCCGGTGCCCCAGCCCCGGGGCTGGCTACAGAGCGGCGCTGCGGCCCCCCGCCCCCGCATCTCGCGGGGCCTCAGCCCAGCTCGGGGGGTTCAAAGTCCAAGCAGGCAGGTGGCGGGGAGCGAGGCTGCCCTGCCTGGCAGCCCCAGGGCTCTCCGGTGCCCTCTCCCAGCCCAGGGAGTCACCCCCGTTCTCTGCTCTCCCAGCCCCCCCGGGGTGTCTGTGCAGCGCCTAGCACGGCCTGGGGGCTTGGGCTGCTACAGAAATTATGCGGACCCAGGACTTAGCTCCCCTCAGCTGCCTCCCATACAGAGCCTTGATAATACTAGAACCACCGATCCCCACGTGCCCAGGCAGAGTCCATAAGTGCCCCCCATGCACCTTGCCCCCCCCTTTGAAGCCACTCCGACTCTATCCTGCTCCTCTCCCGCATGTACCCCAATTTGCTCAGACCACAGAGAGAGCACCCAGCAGTTGTTGAAACAATTTACTCCTAGAGAGGCACAGAAATCCAGGGGACTAGGAGAGCTCGGCAAATCCCCATGAAGCAGAATCCACTCAGTCACAGGGCGGGGTTTCTGTCCCTGGCTCCCAACGCAGAGCCCTTGCTCGGAGAGCCAGTGCCAGGAGGGGGCGGGGAAGGTGTCTTTCTCCAGTGCAGGATTTCGGCCTTGTTGGGGAAGGTGGCCGGGCAGGAGCCCTTGGGACCAGCACAGAGCTCTCTCCTGTTGTAGAAGAAATGCCTCTTTCTGGGCTTTGCGGCCGTCAGACACTCTGCAAACTCTCTGTCGCACTCACAGGCCATCCTGCCGCAGACGCTCTGAGAGCGGCACTCTGTCCCCGATTGGCTACACGCAAACTCATAGGGCTGCCACTTCACTCTCCCCCGGCACTCTAAGGAGACCCTGGCGTGGCGGTAGCAGCAGTCATGGAGGAAGCAACACTGGTCCACTGCGTCTAGGGGTGTCCCGGAGCCCCCGGTTCCACAGTAGCACCCGTACAGGTTGAGAGCGAACAGCGGGGTCCGCAGTCTCTGCCGGTAACACCACAGAGTGAGACCCAGCTCCAGAAGGCTGCGTCTCCCTCGCCTGCTGCATTGAGCCTCCTGGGCAGACTGTGACAACAAGGTCACCAGCACCAGCCACATAGCGAATTTCATTGGGTCCATGGGCATCTGCCTTGGGGGAGCCTGACCGGTCTGACACCCAGAGTGGCTGGCTCTCTTTCTGCCGCTCTTTCCTCCAGTCCTGTGCGCCGTAGAACTGCCCAGCTCCCTTCTGCTTCACCTGGTGTCGCTGGCTGGCTGTCAGGTCTCAGCCCAGTGTAGGAGCCCGCTTGTGCCATCATTGGCTGGAAAGAGGCGAAGTTCCAGCGGCAGGAGAGCATTTAACCCTTGAGTCTCCAGGGCGGTCCCTTGTGCTCCCAGACAGTGGCATGATGGAGGCATCTTATTCTAGATCTGCAGGGCATGCAAGTGTCAGTGGAGAAACCCCTTGAAATCGTTGTAAAGCAAAACCCATTTGTAACCGGAAGGAGCAGCTGGGAATGACCCACGCTTGTCAGGGTCATGCACCGGCTCTGGCTCTGTCTGGCAGGCGCCCCACGCTCAGCAGCTTTGTATCTAATCCGGTGTCTGGAGTGTTTGGATACCGAGGATGATAAGTGAGAGCTCCAGATGTGAGCAGGGCTCTTGACAGATACCGGGTCCCTGGCCGGAGGGACTTGCCACCTACTCTGGGAATTTGGAATGAACGAGGGTGATATGCTGTGCGCTGGAGGAAGCGGGCCAGGGAGGGGGATGTTGGGGAAGGGTATTGTCCAGAGATAGGAGATGATTTAATTCAGGCTTGGTCCTTAATTTTCTTTGGGGGGGGAAAGAATTGAATGTATTTGTGACTCTCCTGTGCCATTCTAAAGGGCAGCCACTGGGGTTTGCGGTCTCCCCGTGTCTCGCTGACAAGGGGTTAACCCCCGGGCTGAGTTGAATCCCTCCCACTGGCAGACTGTGGAGGCATTTGGGTCCACCACTAAATATAGCGTCTTTGGCTTCTGAGCCCTTCAATTAGCAGCAGGGCATTGACGGTCCCGGGCCGGAAGAGGCACCAGAAAATCACCAGGCTTTGTTACGGCCCGTGGGCAGACTGCTGCAGACTGTCTGTTTGTTTTGAAGGTGGGATATGAGCCGCTTCCTCCGACCCTGGGCAGGAATATGTTTGGGCGACAGGTTTACCAGCTGCCGGGGCTCTTTGCGTACGGTGAGTCCCTGTCTGTGGCATGCACGTGGATTTGGGGATAGGAAAGAAAGCCCCAAAGGGTGGGGGTTGTAGTTACTGGTGTGAAGATGGGGAAGCCCTCTGTGCCTGGGGGGGTGAGGCCAGACCTCGCCGCTGTCTGGATTTCCTGGGGGGATCCCACCCTTGGGCTGTGCCACCAAAGCTGGTGTGTCCTGAGAGAAGGAGTCTGACTTCACCTCCAGATACCCAGTCACCCTGGAGAGAGTGCACTGAGCTGGGAACCAGGGGACCAGGAGTTCAAATCTCACTTCTACTCACTGCTGTCTGTATTTCCATGCACTTCACAGCCCTTATCACTGACCACGATCTCGTACCCCATCCCTAGCAGGCGGACAAGCATTCGCCCTCTCTCTAACAAAGGCATTGATCACAAAGCTGCACAAAGTCATTTCGTGAAGAGCTGGGACTAGAGCTCTGGTCTCTAACATTGCAGACCCACTGCCTATGTGCCTTGGTTAGTCTATCGCAAAGTCATACGCTGCCCCGCCCACCCAGGATTCCTGATCTCCAGGGTTCTGCTGTGCACCCTGCTGGCAAAGCATGTGTCAAGTCCCCTTTGTGGCTGGCCCACAAAGGATGTGACCATGACTCTTGTAGCCCCAGTGCTGGAAGCTTGCCTCTCTGAGGGCTCAAGGGGAGGGGAAAGGCCTGGCAGTTACACGTGAAGGAACAACTCATGTTTCTTTAATCGCACAGCAAGGAAACGTCCTTTAAAATAGGCTTTATAGGCTGGGGCAGTGGGGAAAGCGCCCCTCATGCTTGTGTTGTTTCGCAGCTAAGCACATTATGAAGATAGATGGAAGAGCCGGACTCTTCAAAGGTTTGACTCCCAGACTCTGCTCGGGCGCCATCGGCACCATCGTGCACAGCCAGGTGTTACAGGTACGCCGGGCGGGGCTGGAAGGTCATAGCAAACCCCTCGCGAGCAACTGCTGCCCCAGGCTGTCTGCATGGCCGCAGCTGGCCCACCCTGGAGGGGTTGGATAATTCCCAGGGGGTGGTTGTACTTGTTCAGGTCCCGTGTACTCTTGCTCCACACATAGGCGACGTCCAGGGGCTGAGTTCTGGCCCAGCAGGGTGTCGGCTCCTCTCTCAGGGCTCGCTGTGATTTCTAGCGGGTCCCAGGGCAGTCTCTCCTGTGGGAGTGTTGGAGGCCACTTGCTGTCAGTCCCCATAGCATTCTGTCCCATCCCGGCCTACCCAGGCAGCTGCAGCCTGCATGCGGAGGCAGTGAAGCCCTGGTGTTTGCATGCCCCTCCCTGGCTGCCTGGGCCCAACGAGACCTCCATACCCCAGTGGCCTTTGCTGTGCTAACCCTGTCCCCTTGTTCCCTAGCGGTACCAGGAAGCTGACCAGGAGGAGGTATGTTGGAGCTGGTTTCTGGGTCTTTTCCCTTGTAGGCACCTCTCCAAGGTCTGCGCTGGCCTGGGGAGAGGGGAGATGGTAGGAACGTGCCCTGTCAGGAGCACAGGGGGTTGGGAGATGTCCACCCATGCAAAGCCTGGTGTGTTCGGGGGGTGGGTGGCCTAGGCATATGGGCCCAGCGGGCTGCAGGGTGGGCCTGGCCTGGCTAGCGTTTAGGTGCTACTGCACTGGGAATATCGAATAGCAAAGGGGACCAAGGCAGGCCCTGCTGATCTCCATGCTGGCTCTGTGGGAGGGGGCAGTGTCATTCGGGGAGTGGGTAGTGGGGAGCTCTCCTACCTGAACCTCTCTCACTCCCTCTGCCCAGGAGCCTGGGGCCAGCCTCAAGGAGCCCGTGTCCTCGCTGGAGCAGGTCATCAAGGAGGTGAGTGAAGGCCCACGCCCAAGGGAACTTAGCGGCCAGGGCAGCGTGTGGGGCTTGCATGGAGCTGGATCCCTCTGGGGTGAAGTGTGTGTCATGCTGTCTGGAGAGCTCACGCTCATGAGTGCCTACCTCAAGGCAGACTGTCAGAAACGGGGCAGCCCCCCCAGGCTGGGAGTGTGTGCTAGAATTAGATTTCATCAAATGTGAGTTCCTGGATCCCTGTTAATGTCTGACCATGGAGTCACAGACAGTCCCCTTAGACTCTCCAGCCTGTCTTGCCATGCAGACAAACTGGACTTAGTGATACGTGGTCACTTACTCCAAAAAACACACGACATTCAGGTTGCTTCCAGTCCCAAGGGACCAGTCATTTAGCCAAGATCACTTGGCACCCTGGGTCTTACACCAAAGACAGGTGTAGCCAGTCCTGTAATAATCTATCTAAAGGTTTATTAACTAGGAAAAAGGAATGAGAGTTTTGTACAGGTTAAAGCAAGCAAACATGCACACCAATGAGTTACCGTCTGAATCCCAAGAATGACAGAATTGTAGTGAGCGACAATTCAAAGTGTCTTTCCAGGCAGACCCAGGAGGCAGACCCTGGGGATCTCTGGCTTCAGTTTAGACTCCCTGGCCCTTCAGAGTTAAAACAGCTAAAAAAGGGGGACATTTTCCTGTGGCTTTGTCTTATTTCCTTCATTCAGCTCCCAAGCCCACAGGACTAGCCTCTTTGCACCTAGCTTTTCCCAGGTGCGATAGGGCTATTAACCAATCCTATGTATGGCGATGCTCCTTGATGGCCCATCTGATTTTGCTAGTCCTTGCGGTTGGACGGGGGACAATTCCTGGGCCTGAGTTCACAAGTTCAGGGCAAACGTTTTCAGAGTTCTAAAGCAAAACGTACCTATTTCCTTGCGGCCTGGAATACAGACACTACAAGTAGATGAACGCAGGTAGCAACGGACAAGTGTTCTACAGAGTCTAAACACCACATTTTGGAATTTGGGAGGCGCGTGGGCTGTATACCAGGGATAAGGGAGAGGCAAGACAGAACTGGGTGGGGTGGGGTGTCAAATCAGTATCTTAGATGTCTGTATATTAATGCAAGAAGTATGGGGAATAATCAGGAAGAACTCTAATGCTAGTAAATAAAGACAATTATGACATAGTTGGCATCACAGAGACTTGGTGGAATAATATGTATGACTGGAATATTGGTATAGAAGGATACAGATTGCTCAGGAAGTACAGGCAGGGGAAAAAGGGAGGAGGTGTTGCCTTGTGTATTAAAAATGTACACACTTGGACTGAGGTGGAGATGGAAATAGGAGACAGACTTGTTGAAAGTCTCTGGGTAAGGATGAAGGGTAAAAAACAAGGGTTGTCATGGTAGAGGTCTACTCCAGACCCACCTAATGAGGAAGAAGAGGTGGATGAGGCTTTTTTAAACTAACAGAATCATCCAAAGCACAGGACTTGGTGATGATGGGGGGACTTCGACTACTCAGACATCTGTTGGGAAAATGAGACCTTATCCAACAAGTTCTTGGAATGTATTGGAGACAATTTTTTATTTCAGAAGATGGAGAACGCTATTAGGGTGATTTAGATTTGATTTTGACAATAAGGGAGAAACTGGTTGAGAATTTGAAAGTGGAGGGCAGCTTGGGTGAAAGTGATCATGAAATGATAGATCATGATTCTAAGAAATGGTAGA